GTATATTTTGAATTTTTCAAAATCAATATAAATTTTTCAAAGTCAATAAATATCAAATACATTTCTAAAAATAATAGTAGCTTTTTATTTTTTTAATAAGAGAATAGATGTTTATATAATAGGTTTAAATATTGTTGGTGATTTTTCCTCCAAAAACCTGTTACTTTCTCCCTCTAATTGTCTATTAAATAAATAAATATGACTGTTTTGATTAGCATATGACTCTCTATATGGTACAGCTAAGTATGAAGGAAAGAGGTAGAGTCCAAACAATGTGATGAAATGACATTTGAAATGGACGAAAGAGAAAAGAAAAAAGTGGAAGAAAGTAAAATTTCACTGACTCAAAAAGGAAGGAACCAAACATCTGCACAGTCAGTTATTAGAAGTTTTTTTTTATCACTTTTACAATATAATGTAAAGGGTTTGGTTATAACTGTTTTATAAGATTATAAGGAACATCATTTAAAATATGAGAAAGAAAGTAACAGGTTTTTGGAGGAAAAATCACCAACAATATTTAAACCTATTATATAAACATCTATTCTTTTATTAAAAAAAATAAAAAGCTACTATTATTTTTAGAAATGTATTTGATATTTATTGACTTTGAAAAATTTATATTGATTTTGAAAAATTCAAAATATACTGAAGTAAAAGACATTGTTTAAAGTAAAATCAGACTAAATAGTTCTTTCTAAATGTTCAACTGTGTAAAATTCCTCCAAGCTGAAAATTCTATTCTTAGATACAAAGAAAAGCTCTGATTTAATCCTCACATATGATCAAAGAGCAATCATGATCTAAACATTGGACCTTTTATGTAATTATTTATGAATCATAATAGATCTGCAAGCCTTGGAGTCTATTTGTAATGCATAAGTTTTGTGCTGTAGAAGAATCATTCAAAGAACCCCCCAAAAAAGTTATTTTTATTCGTGTATATATAATAACAAATTATTTCCCAGTGGATTTTTCATTTATAGCTTTGTCAAAGTATAAAACAGTTATTTTTCTCCTGTTTTGAACCCAACCTAAGGATTTTTTTAAGTAATTTGGGATCTGTAAAGTACAATATCTTATTTTCTAAAAATAAAATTACATATGTTCATTCTAGCTGTCTGCACTATCTATATTTGAATATAACTTACATGCTTAAACTATACATCTCATGCAATATAATACAGTGACATGACAACTTTTATCACTTAAGAACAACCTGAAATTCTCCAGAATTTATGATTTGGTTCAAAAACTATTCAATAAATCTGTCCTTTCATAAAGTTTTTGAACCAAAGGCATCAAGTCAGTATGAAGAATACTCTTTTTATGAAGAATTCATCCATAAAGAATGGAGATACCTGGAACTTAGCTCCTCCTCTCTCAAATATGCAACACTCATATCTTGAACTAACCTGAGAAGAGGGTAAAATACTCAATGAAAAATCGTGGCAAAGAAATCAGAGCACTTAAGAGGAAACATTCAATTCAAAATTTATTCATAAAGAAATGTCATTTGTATTTGCTGTCCTAGCTAATATTTGTCTTACATTTGCAACTCTAGAGACCAATGTCTTTTTCCCAAGAAGAATTTGTTGTCAGCTGTCAAAGGGAAGGAATCACTGTACTAATATTCACTGTCAGAATTTCCCACAAATTCAAGAAACAGCTACTTATTGCTTGGAGACTGATATAAGAATACAGATGTGAACGCTAAGTAAAACAGTCAAGGAAAGAAGAATCACGAGCAAACTATGGGAAAGCAGATTGAGAACAGAGCCTGATGTAAACACTTCAGTCTCTGTTTATACCATAAAATTTAAATCCTCAGACTGACATGATATGCTGAGGTCAACTCAGATAGCATTATCTTTATTTTGTTTAGACTTTCGAGCCCTAGCACTTATGCAAAGTGACTAAGAACTGATTTAAACAGTTTATTTAAATCTTAGATTTTATTTGGTACTTTTAATATGTATTTAAATGGTGCATTTTCCTTTCTACGCATATAATATACCAAAATTATCTATTTTATTTATTCTTGGATTATGCATATTACATATTACATATGTATATATGCATATGTATACTGCAAACCTATAGACTACAGCACAGTGACCTTTCTCTCTGAACTTAACTGACTGACAGATAAAACAAAACACAGATAAAAATAATTTCTAAAAAAATTTTTCAATAGTTTTAAGTGCTATGGAAACTTTAGGAACCATCTTTATTCTGTAGTCTATTTCAATTAGAAATTCTAGTTGAAAAATATAGGATCATTTCATCTTGCAAAAATAAATAAATCGAGCTTATTAAATTACTTTATAGGAAAGAAAACCTTTTGACAATTTAAAAATATTCTCTAAGGGAAAAGAAAGACTGGAAAGCTAAAGGATCATGTCAAGTACTAATCATATGGAAACACTCAATGTGGTAACTGTCTATCTGTAGTTCTTCACTGAATTCTTGCGCCTCACTTTTGAGGTCTGAAGTTTTGCTTGCTAGTAAAATGCACCAATAACATGCATGTAAATAAAGGGCATGGGTGTATAAATAAATTGCATGCATTCAAATAGATTATAAAGTAAGAATTGATAAAGCCAGAGAAAAATTTAAAGCAAAAATTTTAACAAGTGAGAAATTGAGAGAGACTAGTAAAAGTTGTGGTCCAGATCAAAAAGTTGGATTACCTCTTTCATGTGTACTAACAGAGTCTCTAAACTTTTCTGACTCCTAAGTAAAAATCATTTGAACAGAATAAAAATAAACAAATAAATTTTAATCTATGTTTAGTTGTATATTATTTATGGGAAAAAGAATACCTGTTTCATTTCCTGTTATCAAGAGGAAAGATGGGGTAAGCTACTCTTTCACACACCTTACTTCTGTAACTTGTTCAAATGCATTTAATTTCAGGATTGTCTTAGGAGTGTAAAACTTAGGAGGCCATACTAGTGTTTTCTTCAGAATGCTTTAAGGCTGAATAAGAAGTGTATAAAAATATGATTTATATTTGCTTCTGAATAAATACTACCACAATATTTGCCACAATCATGGAATATGAGTTCCAGATGAGGATGCTCCCTAACAAGCATCAAATATAATAGTTGAACAGGCCTATGCACTTATTCATGTGTAAAAATGCCCATTTATAGAGGTGGACAGAGAGTCCATCAATATAAGTTTGCTTTCTATGTGTGTGTACTAGGTATGGTAAATACACACATTTAAAGATACCATAATTATAATACTCCCACACATTCTTCTTAAAAGTGTGAAGCCAGGCATAATCAACATCTGTTGCAACACCAATACCAGATTATCATTTACTAGAAAAGCATGAAGAACAACCCTCCTAGTAAATATGAATGTTTTGATTAGCACATGTTCTGCCCATCTGCTGAAATCTTAAAGCAAATTGAAACAAGATAAGCAAATATTTTTTCAAGCTATTCATGCAGTTTTTGAGATCATTAAGAGGTTCCACTTGAATTAACTACAGTCTTCTCTTCTATTTAAAATGACAGTGATGTGCAGAATATGTTTCATTTCAATCTTTGACCTCATGCCTATAGAGAAAATGCTATCAAGCAATTCACCCAAATAAATGCAGAAAGGAACAATGACATAATTGTTAAATTTACAAAAATATTTCTGAGACTGAATTCAACTGGCATGACCAACTAAGAAAGCACATTTTGAAGAACCTGAAGTAATGCCTCCCTAGATCACTTACAGTTGATTGTAACGTGATCTGGTGTGACATTGCTTTGTTCTATCAGTATATGTTGACATTTTTGTCTTACTTCATGCACTTTATTGTTAACATTTCAAGAGAGATGAATATCAAACAATGTGGGTGTTTGCACTACACACACAGAAATTTCTCTAAGACAAAATCTCAGGTCCACTATGAGAAAAAGGAGACCTGACTAGTATTGCTGTAGCAAATTTTGTTATAAAAAAACCAAAACAAAAAAATAGTTATAAAAAAAAAATTTGTTATAAAGGCCTATACATTTGTACTCTGAAATAAATTCTGAGTACTATTTATTTCTTATTTTGGGCTAGACATATGTTACAGAGGAGCTAAACCAAAACAAACACTGCCTATGGGCAAAACAGAGATGCTTTATTTTACAAATTCTACACTAAAGAAATAATGGATACCAATCTACTTGCATTAATTCTTAAAACATCTGCATATTGAAAACAGCAATATTCAAATGGCATTATCATAAAAGTTTTACAATTTTAATAGACAGATTTGAAACCTAAATGCATAGTTGAAAGCTTGTAAAAGTTAACTTACATGATCAATTAGTTCACGAACCATTCCATTCCACTGTCCGCTGGCATCTTCTTGGGCTCCATATTTTCCATCTTCCACCAGTCTAATCTCATAGGAAAACCCAAGGATAGTAGACAGCTCCCGGAGGAGGTCTATGCAATAACCTTCAAAACGATCATTTCCATACAAGGGTTTGTCAGACTTCTTGAACATAACATATGGCTCTTCCTGTAAGAATTGAGAAGACAGAGCGGATAATGAATGTCCCCGCACTTTTCTTCTCATTTTAGCCTTAAGTAGTAGACACTCATATGCTTACATATGCATACACTCATGATATCACTCCCTGTACAAAGAAATAATATGAAAACTAGAATCCTTTTAGCTTTGGCTGTGGGTGTCTAAAATCTTCAATATCTTTTCAAAGATTCTCTTTATCATTTTATTTTTTGGAAAAAAAATACACTCTAAACACTGTACACATGTCTTCAAGGAATGCATATATACACTGAATTTAAATGTGCTCCTTAACTAATTGCATTATACAGTAATACAAAATGTATTGTTTGGATAGACAATGTAAGCCTTTTAAAATTAAGAAAAAATGTGCTTTGGCAACTGAAAAAAATGTCATTAAAACTCCAAACATTGATAAAATATCTTAAGTATTAGATTTTACACTTCTATTTATACAATTATTTAAACTCTTTTCTCAATGCTTTGTTAGGCAAAGCATAAAAAACCCATGGGAGTAGGAAAAAGTCAGTGAAAGCACCTGCTTCTCTATCATCTCAAGTTATAGGCTTACAAGACTGCAGCAAAACCTGAAAACATTTACTCAAAAAGTAAATTCTATAATAGACATTCCATGAAAACTGAATTAAATTTCTTTAAGCATTTCTCTTCTGATGTTTAAATCAAATTCCAATGTAATTTTGTTTTGCATTAAGTGGAGTGCAAACAGACAGCAAACAAATTAAGATTGGCAGAATAATCGTAATTATAGGAAGAAAATTTACATTTAGCAAAACAGTATTTTTGTATCTCTTTCTCAGTATAGGATGGCCTTTCTCAAATAGAAAATTAAAGGGAAAAATGCAAAAAACAATTGGTAGTTTTCCACTATAGTATGGAACCAATAGTCAAGCTGTGTTTGTTAGGTTAAATATGCAAGTCTGTCTTTGCTCACTTTTGAGAGAGACTCTTTTCATTTTTTTATAATGAAAAAGAACCAAGTAAGTAAGTAAGTAAGTATGTAAGTAATACAAATAATTGCATATTTAATCATTGCACCAAACACAAGATTCAGTGAATAATCTGATAAACTCTGCAGGGCAACTTAAGAAGATGTTTACAGTCCTAAATCCCCACATCAGCACTCAGTGGGGTTAAAGGCACCTCATTCCACAGGCACCTGACAGCTTTAGTAAGTAAAGACTCCTAATATAATCTTCTGCCTTGAGTTTTCCCATGATTTAAACATTATATCCACATAAAACTGGAACTTTAGTACTTAAGATTTTGTCCAAAGAAATGAAAACAAGAATGCAGGGAAGAACCTTATTCTTAAAAGAGCTGTTTTATACTCCTATTGAAATTAGTAAGGTTACAGCCATATTTTTAAAAAAAGTACATAACTGATCTTCATACAATTAGCAAAGAAAAAACATGGAATAAATTGTCCAGCCAAACTTCTAGGATGTTTTGACAGAAATTTCTCAAACAACAGATAAATAAATGACTCCAGAAGAGCTCTTCAAGATGTAGTATTGACAAGAACAAAGACCTAGCAGAAAACATGAAAGTTGAAAGCAATTTAAATGATAAGGTTCACTGAATAATTCTTGAGAAGCAGAGATGGTCTGAGAGCAAAAAAAGCCTATGTGAAAATAGGTGTAAATAAGTTAGGGAAATTGGTATTAAATATCTCAAAGATAACAACTATAAGGAAAACATTTTTTTCAGGTGAAATGACAATTCCTTAAGGAAAGCACACCACTGGCCGAGCAGATGTCATGCTAAGGCAAAGCACAGTGTGCTTTTTTTTTTTTTTTCCTAGGGTTGCAGCAATTTTCTTCACATTAACTACTGTGGTTTGCATTTGTACTCAAATCAGCATTATAACACAGGAATATTTTCATTACTGCTGACTACTGCTTATACAGTATCACAGCCTGTTCTGTAGGCATGAAGGAATTCCAGTGTAGCTTGGAATGCTCATGTGCACAGATCCAAGACCTTTGCTCTCAGATTTTTTCAGATATTTGCAGTCTTACACATCCCCCAATCTCTGGAATCTTGGCAAGATCCTTGATAACTTTTTTGTCCCTGTCTTCCATTCCAAGCAATCCTTAGTTATCAGGGACAAAATTTAAATATTGCAATATCAAGGAAGAAGTATAATTGCCAATTTATGCTTTTTTAAAAATTCTTAATAAGCACAGCATGATATTCTTCATTGAGCAATTCAGCTCATTGATACATTCCTACACATTTTTCTATCAGATCATTATAGAAATCCTCAGACACTTTATCTGTTCTGCTGATGCTTTTTTATGTTTTGTTAGAAAAATAAAAAAAAATCTTGCAACCCTTTCTGGAATTCTTAGCTCCAGCTTCCTACTCATTTATATTCTTTACTCTGGCCAGCTTGGATAAGGGCTACAATAGTATCTGTACTACTATTTAATGATTTTCAACTTCTGCTGAGGAGACTGATCAATAAGCTATTAATACTCTCTTAATGCTTTTCCAATCCTACATTCAGTAATCTCTTACTGGTACTTGCTACTTTTTCTTGTTATTCTACTGTACAAAATATTTGTTTTTTCTCTTCCAACATTTACTTGCTATATAAAGTGATTTCTAGCTTAACTTGAGCAGGGTTGTTGTTGGCAGCTTCATCTGTAATAGCTCTGATTAATCCCAACCTAGTTTGCTTTTTCCTCAAGTAATACACATGCTAAATACTGAACATGGCATTCAGGTATTCTGGACAAGTGCAGGCAAAGGGTTCTTCATGTTTTAATTGCTCAAGCTTTAAATTTGTAGAATGGGCTAATGTAAAACTGTTTGCTAAACATACTCTCAGGAAAGTCTCTATGCATTAAATGTACAATCACCATTGCTTCTTGGTGGATTATCACTTCCACCAAAATCTTGCACTAGGACAATTGTCATTGATTAGGTAGACAGAGTAATATGTAGATTGACAGCTGCTTTGTACTTTAACATTGTTCACAATTTATTTTTTTTCCTTCCATTCCTGAAAAAATGACCCTTAAAATTACTAGACCACATAACAAAAGGAGTATTTGAAATCTTCTAAACAGTTTCAGCTGAAATTAAGTCTCAACTGATCAAATCTCCCTAGGAAAACAGAGAAACACTTTCCATTACCACTTTTATTATTTCTTGGAATGACATGAGTAGCTTGAAACAAAAAATCACTGAATAAACACTGACTATAGACACTGCAACTCTAAATTTACATCAGGGCAGTTTATTACATAATTTTAAGATCAAAGTCATCATTTAATGTTTCGTAAGACTAAAATATCTTCAGTGAAGAGGGATACAGAAGAGCCCCATCCCAAGCCAGGCAAGCACTAAAAGTGAGAATGCAGACAAACATATAAATGCAACAAATCATTTTTCTGAGAAAATTTACTGAAAAGTAAACTTAGCTAAAGTACTGCAAATAAAGGTATGGCTACAAGGAACAGTGGAATCACAGGCAGATTAAATACTATGTCTGCAAATAGAAGATAAATATTTGAAAATTAATTATTATTGTAACTTTACAGACTGGTTTTAGTTTTAAAAATGTACAGCTAATGCTTGAATGAAAGCACACATTCTAAAGAACAAATTTCTGCTAATTTCTCTTTTTCTTTTCAGATTTGAACAATAAATATTTCCATGAATTATTCCTGTGAGTTATATTATATTTTGATGACAAAGATATTACTGGAAATTACAACTAATTTTACATTTCAAATTCTTTTTTTTTAAATTAATATTAATCAAACATGTAAATTTTTCATTAATAATTTCAACGTGGAATAACATATTTTTAAATTAATCTAGAATTTATTACTATCAGTATAGAGAAAAGCAAAACAAAGCAAAAGAAAAAAAAAATTAGCAAAAAGCGGAAGCCCTAATGATGAAATGGGGAAAACTATTTGAAAAATTTCCACTCTAAGAACAGAGATTTTAATTACTAGCTGCTGTTCACCAGAAGGTGGGATACTGGAGTGTTGAAAGACTGCCATATCTTCTTAACATGTATATGAGATATAAGGAATACACAATAGGTTTTCACAGTAGGCAGTCAAAATTCTAGTGGGAGAGGTGAATCAATCCACTAGTTACTATCAATCAAAACAATTCATGGATGAACCATATTTATAAAGATGACAGGTAAATTTATTCTTTTAATTCTAATATTCTTTTAATATATATTAAAGTTTGGCCATTGAAAACTCATGTTTGAGTATCCAAGAGAAAAGAGAAATTACGCACTAGTCATTTGAGAAAGTAGCATATATCAGTAAAATACAGTGTGGGAATACTATACTTTGAGCTAACTAAAATTCTTTTAAAATTTATGATAAATATTCCTTCTAATTCCTTCTAATTCTATTCCTATTTCAAACCAATTTTTTTTTCTAAGGGAAGTACAATAAAAATGTAATTTCACTTTTCAAATGCAAAGTAACAAAAAGCTACTAAATCTGAGAACATTGCACACCTTTCATAACTTTCACACATTTCTTGGAAAAATTAAACTTGACAACTGTGAGCTTTTCTGAGCTTTGATGTAAGCAGATACAGAAGAGTACATAAAAGCTACACAGGAAAAGAAAACAAGCATTTACTTCAGCAGAACAGGGCAAATGAACCAGTATGATAATATGTACAGACTGGTATGAAATTAAGACAGGGCAAATGAACCAGTATGATAATATGTACAGACTGGTATGAAATTAGAATAAAAAAAAAAAACCTAAGTACCATGCACATATCTTTATAAACATGGAAACTGAATTCCAAAGTTGAAACTTTTTCATATTGGAAGTAGAATATATATAGGAACAAAAATATTTAGATACTTACATCTAACGTCTAAAGAGAAGAAATGTTTCAGAATTCTGGTGGGAATTTAGGAGAACCAAATAATAAGAAATCCTTATTGCTGAAGTTGAAAATTTGTTTTCTTTAAG